GTATATATACATAGTAGAATTACGGTCACAAAACTATGTTTTAGCTAATCCCGGCTTGTGCTCCCTTTCTTCTGTCAACATTTTCCGTCTTCTTCTCCGAGAGAGCATGAAGAAGAAGAAGAAAAATAAGTGTGACGTGCGGCGTAAGCAAAATGTCTCTCACTAAACTTTATATTAAAAACTGTGTTAAGAGACATTTGGCTTCTGGTGCATTAATATGGTAGGATTTCTTTTGTTTCTTAATGTCTCTTACTAATAGGAGAATGGTGAAGAGAAGGAACAAGAAGTGGTAGCACGAATACTCTCAAGATTTAAACCCAAAGAAGTAAGAAGAAGAGAGACAAATCAATGGAGAAGAAGAACAAGTCAACAAGACACAAACAAGGATATGTTGATTGAGAGATTGAGAATCGAGATGGATCAATCTGTTGACAAACGAATCTTCATCATCATCATCAACGCAGAAACAACTCAACAAACCACTTTCTTCTCTCTGCTTCCCTCAGCACAAAGCCCGCCATTAAGAACAAATGTCCAGCAACAATACAAAGGCAAAGCAGCATAAGAAGAAGCTAAGCCAGAGACAGAGAAGATCATCACAAAGTCGTTTCCTTTATCAATGGCTGATCATAATGCCAAACTCAACGAATCATCATACAGATTCGGTAACCAAATCCCCTTTTCCGACAAAGGCATGTCCTGGCTCAGCAGGATAGCTACAAGATGCCGAAACTGTACACATCTTCAGTTTCTGCTCACATGCTTAGATGCAACAGGTTCCATTCTTGCTATAATCTGCTCACATGTGTCCAAAACTGCAGCACCGTAAATATCAGAGCTTGCAGAAGCAGCAGTCGGTGATGCATTTGGCCTTAAGTGCTCTGCTTGTAACAGAGTTCCATCTTATATATCCATGAAATTAGCATTTGCCCGCCCACCAAAGAGGCTCTAATAAATATGTATAACCTCCATACCCTGCAACTGCATCATCAAGTGAATTCCAATTCCATGTCAGAATTTTTGTGGTTTCTTATCAAACTGTCATCCACTAAAGATAAGAGTCAAAGAAGCTCTAGACTGTTCACAGAAATTAAGGAAAACTGAGGGAAAGATTTTACATTTCTGGATTAAACAAGGCAACGAAAAACTGTTAAGTGCAAGTGAAAAACCACGAGCCATTGATTTTAGCTAATTAATCAGCAAGACATTACAACTATAAGATTTTCTCAACCTATGACCAAAACGCCAACTTAGCCTAACTTGTTAAAAGATCAATGAAGATTTCTCTGTCAAGACTGCAACACACAAGCAAAGCACAAACTGAACTATAAATCATTTTGCTCATAGTCTCATACAAAGCAACCAGAACTATATTAAAAACAGATCAACACATGGTTTCACAATAGATACAACCTCGAAAAATAAAGTATACCTTTGGTGGAGAATCAACAGCTCTGCTCTGTCCTGTAAAAAACAGTTGTTCTTCTAACCATGCATCCATTGCAAGAAGTAAACATATCACTGAAAGTAAACATATCTCTCACGGTGTGCTCCAGATTCTCCGTTTGCATGCAATTGACTACATCAGTGAAAAGTGATGAAACGTCCTTTCCAACAGTCATTGCTGCAATGGCCTTCTTAACAGCATCTTTCCTCTTATCCTAGAAACATAAAAGAAGAAAAGTTATGTTAGGAAACTGAAGCAAAAAGAGAAACGCATGCCACCATCTTGAATCAGTACCATTGGCGTCTAATTAAACTGTAAACTTTTGCTCGACATTGTAACGAAAATTTCATACTTACTGTATCTTTCTCAGTATAATTGGAACAAGAATTTGCAAGAGAACACACTTCAGTAATCGAAATCAAAATCGACCAGTAAACTAAGGAAAGACTTCGAATTTCATTAAAAGACACGATTCTGCTCCAACTACGCTGATATTTTGCGAAACACAAGACAGAAAACCTAAATTAAACGCCAATTACAACCAATTTTTGAAGAAAACTTACCATGCAAAAGTTTTGGCAGATTCGTTGAAGCGAATGTCTGATTTCCCTGCAGCTTCTTCGTCGATTCGTCTAAGCTCATCTTGTTTTCGGCCAGACCACCGTTCGAGAGTAGATTTGGGTGAAATTTCTCAGTGAAATTCGAAGAAGAATGGAAGAGTAGCCGAATCGCCTCGGAGCGAGGAAGAAGAGAGGGAAAGGCGAAAGTGAGAAAATGAGGAGAAGGAAAAAAACATTTCGCGGTCCAATCATAACTCGCCACGTGTCACTAACAGACGTCTCTTATTTCTTTCAGAAGCGACGTTTTCACATTAAATTCGCATTTTTTTATTTATTTAATTGAGTAAACAGTGTAAGAAATGCTGGTTACATAGTACATACACCAATAATGATGCTCTAATAAAATCCCTAATTTTACATGTAATAATGAAACTAAGTATTACTGGAGGCCAGATTCCAAGAGACCAAGACAGGCCCAACAGAACCAGGCCCAGTCACGTCAAAGCCTGAAAACAAATATGTTAGCTTGTGGCAAACCCTGATGACGAGCTGCATTACACAACCCACAATAAGAAACGGAAAGTTTGTAATTTGAATCGATAAAATGTAAAACGATACTGATATACGACTTAGGAATTCACAACCAGGGTTCATTAATTTATATCATACATTTATTTATTTTGACATCAAACCCCATATATTTCTAAGATAGCTTCGGAAGCTAACCAACTCGGAACTGTAGAGTTTACATAGGAAAAAAATCAAACCACGTGCTCAGACTCTTTTTGAGAGACAATCGGCATGGACATTACGCAAACATGGAATAAAAGAGATAGAAAAAGAACTGAAAGATGAATAAATAAGATAGAAATCGTCGAACTCGTTAGCCAAAGATAGCCAAATATGTTAGCTGTAGGCAATCTGATTCAGAGGTCATAGACGTGATTCTCATAAGAGAGCCGCTAATTTCTTTCATGGCCCATATATATCATACCTGCATAAATTTCCATTGGGACATTTTGAGAAAGCTTGACCTTTTAATGATTGGGCATCCAGTAAGCATGGATTCCAAATGTATCAATTGGCAATCATCGCAAATACATGAACTTTCTTGTGCTTTGATGATACCAACACAAATGATCGTGATTTCATCACCCGAGCATGAAGCATCCATGCTGTATCATGTTCATCAAACAAAACCTCGATTAGCGGATTCACGAATTACTTTCGAAAGAGTCCACCAAATTTCCACTAAACAAACGTTCGATTAGCGAACTAACGAAATGTTCTAATTGCTCCACCCATTTTTCTTTTCCCGTTTACTTGGTTTTTAGCAAATAACCCCTTTGCTTTTCTTTTGTTGCCATCCTTTACCAGTTTTTGCCCATATACTTTTTTCAAATCTTCTACAGTTGACCCTTTAGTATTTTACTTTCTTTTTAGTCCTCTAAGAAATTATACTTCGTGTCGAAAATAAGTGTAGGTGATTGTATGGAAACAAATCAGTGAGATTAGCATCGGTAAGTAACTGTTTAATTGTTGAAAATTTAGTTTAAATAAGTGGTTAATAATATTTTAGCAGAATTAAATTTTTTTAAACTCGTGAATAAAGGAATGTTTTGTAACCAATTGGGAAATATATGTTACTAACTAATAGTAGTGAATTATATTTTGACTTTTATAATTGAATAAAAGATAGGATGACTTGAGTAGCAGTGTAGCTCAGAACTATTGTGCCTATGCCCTATGGTATAAAAGACAGTTGTATGTAATATTGAATAAAACAAAATTTGCAGACATGGAAACATCTCGTCCCTTGATCTTGATGAGTGGATAAGCATGTTAAATTATCCATTAGAGCAGATCCCATGCTACTCGCCGCGCGTGTCGCCCCCAGTTTTAGTGGGCTATTTGGTACAGAAAATAATTAATAGTTTAATACTAGTACTATTTTAGCGTGTCGATCAAATTAAATCATAAATGGGCCCACGATATGTCACGTTTCAGTCTAGTACTCAGCATCAAGTGGCAAAACTCTAGTCGAATGTAAAAACTAAAAACAGATGACAATATTTTCGGTTAATTCATGTTTTATCGTTTGGTGGCATAGCAAGTACAGTAGGTGTTTGTTTTTCATTTTATGGCGTCATTTGTATATAACTATGCAAAAGACACATATTTCTTAGAAAAGTTGTAAGAAAGTGCATAGCATAGTAGCTGAGATTACATTTCAAAAACTATATTGTAAATTAGTAGTTAAAACAGAATGACTAGTGACTAATGAACAAGTTTGGCTTATGTAAAGATCAGGAATCTTCCAAACAGAGAAGTACTGATCGAGCAGCTGCATGAAAAAAATACAAGATTGCTTGGATAAAAACAATACTAAGATTCAAGTGTTTTCCATGGGACAAAAAGTGTTCTTTTAGTGAGCTCTACTCTATGAGGCTTTCGTTTCGGTAGGAAATAAGATTCAGGAGGCTGCGAGTAGGAATCAGAGATTCCATGTTGAATCGGTATTAGGATTGCGTAACATTTCAGAGATTACATGTTGAATTATGTTGAGATAAAGATAAGAATGTCTCTTTTTCACCGCGACGTGTACGTGTATAGAGAAATCAAAATAAAGATGAGAATGTCTCTTCTTCACCACTACATGTATAGAGAAATCAAAGACACTCCAACATGGATACTGTTATTACATGTTGAATTATTTTGAGTAAAAATAAAAATGTCTCTTCTTCACCACTACGTGTACGTGTTTAGAGAAATCGAAGACACTTGTAGACACAAGGATATTCAAGAAGAGATTAAAAATATATTATAATCTCATATCAATCAACATCAAGAAACTATCGACTATCGTTACAATTTACAAACAGATAACACAGTGGCCACTAAGCTGAGCAATAATGCGCATAGAAGATCGTGTCGAACGGAATTAGAAGCCGACTAATCTCCGGCCTCAGAAATATCCGGCGCCAACTTTGAAGTCAATCTATCCAACGCAACGCATTAGCTGGTGGTGAATCGGGTGAGACCGGTGGCTGGTTCGCTGGAGCAGTTGCGGGCGGTTTTATGGAAGCAGTGGGGCTCGTCGTCGGAGCGGAGGAAAGAGACTTCACTGGAATAATAGTCGGAGGGAACACCGGGGTTTTCACCGGAGAAGTGGCGGGAGAAAAAACAGGGGACTTCGAAGGAGATGCAATGGGGTAAGAGGACACAGGGGATTTCAACAGAGACGCAATGGTCCTGGAGGATACAGGCAGGGGAAGTGGCCGGAGCAAAAGCAGGGGATTTCAATGGAGACGCAATGGTCGGAGAGTAAACAGGAAAACTAGCCGGAGCAACACCAGGGGATTTCACAGGAGAGACAACGGTTCGAGCAGATCTTGGAGAGGAAACATGTTTTCTCGCCGGAGACTTCCCAGGCGTCGTCGGATGTAAAGTAGGGATTGGAGGAAACGTCGGAAACTTTGATGATGAAGAACCGGAGGTTGTACCGGAGGAGTGATAAACTGACTGGTGCGTTGTCGGATTGGACAAACTGACACATCGTTTCTTAATTTTGAAAAACACAAAATCTGTAAGAAAAAAACATATTCGCAAGTTTTAAATAAATTACTTTTTTAAAAAGAGAGTTTTTTACAAACATGAAACGCTGTGTATTTGTGATAGAGGTATGACCGTTGGAGGCGCCTATATGTTATTGACTGGCTTTAGGAAGTGAAGTAGCCGTTAACCAAAAAAAGACGACATGAAGTTTTANACTGTTATTGTGGATAGTTTTTTTTCCTATAGTTGTCAAGATAAAGAGAAGTTTTCCAGATTTTATACTCTGTTTTCTTTTCTCTTCCAATTCTATTTCACTTTTCTTTATCACATGTGTATGCCTTGTACAAGAAGCAATGGTTTCTAAACTGATACAAGAGCATAAAACCTATTACCTAATAGTTCCTGTGGCTAAGAGAGCTTTACGCGGCTACAAAAGGGTTTCACTCGACTAGAGTCATCGGAAGAGGAGCGTTTGGGAAGAACGTGTACAGAGCCATCAGCCATGTTTGTGCCATCGATCATTGCTTGCTTGCGGCACAAGAATCTTGCAGGGTTGGTGTAAGGAGAAGGGAGAATTGCTTCTCGTCTATGAGTTCGTGCTTAATGGAGATTCTGTATCAAGAATCAGAAGCAGGAGCTGTCTCTCTAGACTGGTCACACTCACACAGGGTCAACGTTGCGATTGGTTTAGCTTCGGCTTTGTCGTATCTCCACCACGAATGTGAGCAGCAAGTGGTTCACAGAGACATAAAGACAAGCAACATAATGCTCGACATAAACTCCAACGCAAGGCTATGAATCTTTTGGATTGGGTTTGGAGATTGCACAGTCAAGGAAGAGGACTTGAGGCTGTGGTGGATGAGAGTTTGAAAGGACAGCTCGATGAGGAAATGATGAAGAAAATGGGTTGCTATATATGTGCTCGTCCAGAGAGTAACGAGACGAGAGACCATCTATGAGACGTGCTCTTCAGATACTTAACATTGAGGTTGAGCAAAGGCCGGTTCCGAAGATGAAACCAACATTGTCTTTCACTTGTGGGTTAAGTCTTGAAGACATTGTTTGAGAAGATGAAGAAGGAGACAGCATCGTGTACGTTGTTGCATCCTAGTTAGTATGTAGCTTTTTGATTATTTCGTTTGGTTTCATTTGATTTGTGGCCTCTTGGTTCAGTGAGTTTGTTATATTGAACGATGATGAGGTTTCTGATATTCATAAAAACACATCTCAGAGCCTAATATTTTTCACATAGCAAAATCCAGTTTCGAGATCGACGTACCATTCTTAAGACTGAGTAGTGACAGTAGTGTATATATACATAGTAGAATTACGGTCACAAAACTATGTTTTAGCTAATCCCGGCTTGTGCTCCCTTTCTTCTGTCAACATTTTCCGTCTTCTTCTCCGAGAGAGCATGAAGAAGAAGAAGAAAAATAAGTGTGACGTGCGGCGTAAGCAAAATGTCTCTCACTAAACTTTATATTAAAAACTGTGTTAAGAGACATTTGGCTTCTGGTGCATTAATATGGTAGGATTTCTTTTGTTTCTTAATGTCTCTTACTAATAGGAGAATGGTGAAGAGAAGGAACAAGAAGTGGTAGCACGAATACTCTCAAGATTTAAACCCAAAGAAGTAAGAAGAAGAGAGACAAATCAATGGAGAAGAAGAACAAGTCAACAAGACACAAACAAGGATATGTTGATTGAGAGATTGAGAATCGAGATGGATCAATCTGTTGACAAACGAATCTTCATCATCATCATCAACGCAGAAACAACTCAACAAACCACTTTCTTCTCTCTGCTTCCCTCAGCACAAAGCCCGCCATTAAGAACAAATGTCCAGCAACAATACAAAGGCAAAGCAGCATAAGAAGAAGCTAAGCCAGAGACAGAGAAGATCATCACAAAGTCGTTTCCTTTATCAATGGCTGATCATAATGCCAAACTCAACGAATCATCATACAGATTCGGTAACCAAATCCCCTTTTCCGACAAAGGCATGTCCTGGCTCAGCAGGATAGCTACAAGATGCCGAAACTGTACACATCTTCAGTTTCTGCTCACATGCTTAGATGCAACAGGTTCCATTCTTGCTATAATCTGCTCACATGTGTCCAAAACTGCAGCACCGTAAATATCAGAGCTTGCAGAAGCAGCAGTCGGTGATGCATTTGGCCTTAAGTGCTCTGCTTGTAACAGAGTTCCATCTTATATATCCATGAAATTAGCATTTGCCCGCCCACCAAAGAGGCTCTAATAAATATGTATAACCTCCATACCCTGCAACTGCATCATCAAGTGAATTCCAATTCCATGTCAGAATTTTTGTGGTTTCTTATCAAACTGTCATCCACTAAAGATAAGAGTCAAAGAAGCTCTAGACTGTTCACAGAAATTAAGGAAAACTGAGGGAAAGATTTTACATTTCTGGATTAAACAAGGCAACGAAAAACTGTTAAGTGCAAGTGAAAAACCACGAGCCATTGATTTTAGCTAATTAATCAGCAAGACATTACAACTATAAGATTTTCTCAACCTATGACCAAAACGCCAACTTAGCCTAACTTGTTAAAAGATCAATGAAGATTTCTCTGTCAAGACTGCAACACACAAGCAAAGCACAAACTGAACTATAAATCATTTTGCTCATAGTCTCATACAAAGCAACCAGAACTATATTAAAAACAGATCAACACATGGTTTCACAATAGATACAACCTCGAAAAATAAAGTATACCTTTGGTGGAGAATCAACAGCTCTGCTCTGTCCTGTAAAAAACAGTTGTTCTTCTAACCATGCATCCATTGCAAGAAGTAAACATATCACTGAAAGTAAACATATCTCTCACGGTGTGCTCCAGATTCTCCGTTTGCATGCAATTGACTACATCAGTGAAAAGTGATGAAACGTCCTTTCCAACAGTCATTGCTGCAATGGCCTTCTTAACAGCATCTTTCCTCTTATCCTAGAAACATAAAAGAAGAAAAGTTATGTTAGGAAACTGAAGCAAAAAGAGAAACGCATGCCACCATCTTGAATCAGTACCATTGGCGTCTAATTAAACTGTAAACTTTTGCTCGACATTGTAACGAAAATTTCATACTTACTGTATCTTTCTCAGTATAATTGGAACAAGAATTTGCAAGAGAACACACTTCAGTAATCGAAATCAAAATCGACCAGTAAACTAAGGAAAGACTTCGAATTTCATTAAAAGACACGATTCTGCTCCAACTACGCTGATATTTTGCGAAACACAAGACAGAAAACCTAAATTAAACGCCAATTACAACCAATTTTTGAAGAAAACTTACCATGCAAAAGTTTTGGCAGATTCGTTGAAGCGAATGTCTGATTTCCCTGCAGCTTCTTCGTCGATTCGTCTAAGCTCATCTTGTTTTCGGCCAGACCACCGTTCGAGAGTAGATTTGGGTGAAATTTCTCAGTGAAATTCGAAGAAGAATGGAAGAGTAGCCGAATCGCCTCGGAGCGAGGAAGAAGAGAGGGAAAGGCGAAAGTGAGAAAATGAGGAGAAGGAAAAAAACATTTCGCGGTCCAATCATAACTCGCCACGTGTCACTAACAGACGTCTCTTATTTCTTTCAGAAGCGACGTTTTCACATTAAATTCGCATTTTTTTATTTATTTAATTGAGTAAACAGTGTAAGAAATGCTGGTTACATAGTACATACACCAATAATGATGCTCTAATAAAATCCCTAATTTTACATGTAATAATGAAACTAAGTATTACTGGAGGCCAGATTCCAAGAGACCAAGACAGGCCCAACAGAACCAGGCCCAGTCACGTCAAAGCCTGAAAACAAATATGTTAGCTTGTGGCAAACCCTGATGACGAGCTGCATTACACAACCCACAATAAGAAACGGAAAGTTTGTAATTTGAATCGATAAAATGTAAAACGATACTGATATACGACTTAGGAATTCACAACCAGGGTTCATTAATTTATATCATACATTTATTTATTTTGACATCAAACCCCATATATTTCTAAGATAGCTTCGGAAGCTAACCAACTCGGAACTGTAGAGTTTACATAGGAAAAAAATCAAACCACGTGCTCAGACTCTTTTTGAGAGACAATCGGCATGGACATTACGCAAACATGGAATAAAAGAGATAGAAAAAGAACTGAAAGATGAATAAATAAGATAGAAATCGTCGAACTCGTTAGCCAAAGATAGCCAAATATGTTAGCTGTAGGCAATCTGATTCAGAGGTCATAGACGTGATTCTCATAAGAGAGCCGCTAATTTCTTTCATGGCCCATATATATCATACCTGCATAAATTTCCATTGGGACATTTTGAGAAAGCTTGACCTTTTAATGATTGGGCATCCAGTAAGCATGGATTCCAAATGTATCAATTGGCAATCATCGCAAATACATGAACTTTCTTGTGCTTTGATGATACCAACACAAATGATCGTGATTTCATCACCCGAGCATGAAGCATCCATGCTGTATCATGTTCATCAAACAAAACCTCGATTAGCGGATTCACGAATTACTTTCGAAAGAGTCCACCAAATTTCCACTAAACAAACGTTCGATTAGCGAACTAACGAAATGTTCTAATTGCTCCACCCATTTTTCTTTTCCCGTTTACTTGGTTTTTAGCAAATAACCCCTTTGCTTTTCTTTTGTTGCCATCCTTTACCAGTTTTTGCCCATATACTTTTTTCAAATCTTCTACAGTTGACCCTTTAGTATTTTACTTTCTTTTTAGTCCTCTAAGAAATTATACTTCGTGTCGAAAATAAGTGTAGGTGATTGTATGGAAACAAATCAGTGAGATTAGCATCGGTAAGTAACTGTTTAATTGTTGAAAATTTAGTTTAAATAAGTGGTTAATAATATTTTAGCAGAATTAAATTTTTTTAAACTCGTGAATAAAGGAATGTTTTGTAACCAATTGGGAAATATATGTTACTAACTAATAGTAGTGAATTATATTTTGACTTTTATAATTGAATAAAAGATAGGATGACTTGAGTAGCAGTGTAGCTCAGAACTATTGTGCCTATGCCCTATGGTATAAAAGACAGTTGTATGTAATATTGAATAAAACAAAATTTGCAGACATGGAAACATCTCGTCCCTTGATCTTGATGAGTGGATAAGCATGTTAAATTATCCATTAGAGCAGATCCCATGCTACTCGCCGCGCGTGTCGCCCCCAGTTTTAGTGGGCTATTTGGTACAGAAAATAATTAATAGTTTAATACTAGTACTATTTTAGCGTGTCGATCAAATTAAATCATAAATGGGCCCACGATATGTCACGTTTCAGTCTAGTACTCAGCATCAAGTGGCAAAACTCTAGTCGAATGTAAAAACTAAAAACAGATGACAATATTTTCGGTTAATTCATGTTTTATCGTTTGGTGGCATAGCAAGTACAGTAGGTGTTTGTTTTTCATTTTATGGCGTCATTTGTATATAACTATGCAAAAGACACATATTTCTTAGAAAAGTTGTAAGAAAGTGCATAGCATAGTAGCTGAGATTACATTTCAAAAACTATATTGTAAATTAGTAGTTAAAACAGAATGACTAGTGACTAATGAACAAGTTTGGCTTATGTAAAGATCAGGAATCTTCCAAACAGAGAAGTACTGATCGAGCAGCTGCATGAAAAAAATACAAGATTGCTTGGATAAAAACAATACTAAGATTCAAGTGTTTTCCATGGGACAAAAAGTGTTCTTTTAGTGAGCTCTACTCTATGAGGCTTTCGTTTCGGTAGGAAATAAGATTCAGGAGGCT